TAAAAAATTTTCTTAATAAAGTTGTTTAAACAGATTTTAAAATATATTTTTTACTTAGAAAATATATTGCTAAAATTAAAATTTAAAATTTTATTTAAAAATTTTTAAGTGTTAATTAAAATTAGAGGCAAATTTGCTCCTAATACAGATGAAGAGATAAATGACTTTTGTGTTGATTTTTTATTAGTAAATCATTATATTTAAAAAAGTACTTTAAAGTGTATAAATTAGTTACTTGAATAATTGATCTATACTAACTAATGATATAAATATCATCTTATAACTCTGGTATAGAGATATAAAAATTTTTCAAAAACAATTTTTAAAAAGAAAACTATTTTTTTTACTTAATTAAAATTTTTCACAATTTTTTGCTACAAATTACATATAAAAATACAATTATTATAAAACGCACCTATAGTAGTTTTGCACCTATTATATGTTTTTTTAAAATTTTCTAAGTTTTTATAAGTTTTGTATATAAAATTTTTATTATCAATTTTTCACATTAAAGTCAATATTAAGGTTAGAATTAGGGTTTGGGAAGGATTTTTGAAGCATAAAACATTTTACTTAGAACACCTCACATCGATTAATTAGCTAGTTTTTGAGATAATACAACATAGGTGATAAAACACCATAGGTGCATTTTAGTAAAATTGTAAAAATAAATCATATGAAAATGATATTATTGGCTTAAGACAAATATTATCATGTGATTGAAATTCACAGTACAACAGCAGTAAGCCCCTGAAATTCGAAACAACTACGTGATTTTCATAATTCTAGCCAGAGATACCTGACTTGAAACTTAATTCTAGCCAAAATCGAAATAGATCGAAATTTTTGTTTAAATCAATTAAAATTTTTGCTTTAAATCCAGAAATCGAAAGAATATTTCCGTGTCCCTGCCCTGGCAACACGTTTTCATGATATACGCGTGATTATTTTTGCCAGAATTGCGTGAGATAACATGACCTAACTAAAAATTTTTTTTTGTTGCATTATTTATGATCTCCAGTGTATAATAAAATTTTTTCTAATAAAAATGATCTTGTGGCGTAGTCTGCTTTGCCCAATCAAAGATGTCATTTAAACACGACTAATCAGAAGTGGTGGGGACCCCCATGCCACAAAAATTTCCCGTGACTCGCTATCAGTCAGTACACGATTTTTACGCGTTTTTTATTACTGATTATCGTTATCCTTACTCAAAGCTTATTACACCAAGTCCAAATGGTAGCGAAAGATTATCTTTTTTTTCAGCAGATACATAAATGATACATGTCTAATTTTTTTTAACGAATATAATAAGACTGAACGTAAACGTGCAAGAGAGGTTAGTCCCGACCCGGCCTCGACCCCTCCTTCAGAAACCCCTCCTTTGCTATCGCCTCCTAGAGCAGGAGACCGGGAAAATATCGATTCTGAGGATTATGGCCTCTTAGAAGAGGAAATAATTAAAGACGATGTTTCCGAAGAAGAAATGGACTCTGAGGGTGAAAACTTATTTGATGGAGAACTAATGGAGAGGTTTTTTTTTTTTTTTTTATCCAATGTTTATTATAAAATTGTCTGAATTATACACGAACGTCAAATTTATATTGTATTTTAGAGATTATCAGCCAAATCCCCTGCTTGATGCTTATGATACAGAAGATCTAGACGATGATTTCCATGAGCCTATGTCCTTTGACGCTCGCAGACGCGTTGAAATGGTTATGGATCAATTAGATCAAATGGGTACTCAAGGGGAGCAATTATACGGTAGATCACAAAGTTATTATCAATTAAGATTTGATAACTCCTTACTTACTTGGTTCCTTTACAACAGAGGATGCATTCACTAAGCCAAGAAACAAACGTCGTCGTCGACGTGTTCATAATGAATTTCAGGAAATGGAAAATAAATTAGTGGTGGAAGAGGAGGTCATTATTTCGACTATATTTATATCCTTGCATGCCTTTGTTTTTAACAATGTCATTTATTTTATTTCAGTACATGGATCTTGAAGAGATATCAACTATAAAGGCCCCGTCTATAATTGAGTGGATCAAGATACCAGCCGTAAGAAGCGGTATTTATCAACAATTTAGCAATTTTTTAAGAACTTATGTAGAAAATGGAAAATCTATATACGGACCTCGTATTGAAGAACTTACAAAAGGTATGACATGCTGCATTGTTTTTAGTAACTTTTTTATATTCAAGTATAAAGACAAACAATAAATGCAATATTTTACCTTGAATCAGATCAACTTCAAAGTTTGAAAGTAAATTATAATCATTTAAAAAAGAGCAAAGAAATTTTGGCACTCTTCCTTAAAGAATCTCCTAATGAGATGTTAAATATTTTTGATGAATCTGCATATGACTTTATTGTGGAAATTCATCGTGGATATAAAAAACTTGGCAAAGAAGTACATGTGCGCATAACTGACTTTCCCGTTATTCACAATATCAGAGAATTAAGGTGAGTCCTATTACACCATTTTATATCGCCTGTCATAAGATTAGTTTTACATATTAATGAATTATTATTTGTTGTGGACAGGCAAACCAATCTCAATAGTTTAATACGAGTGTCTGGTGTAATTACAAGGCGAACCGGAGTGTTTCCTCAGCTTAAATATGTTAAATATAACTGCGTCAAGTGTGGAGGCCTTCTTGGGCCATACACTCAAGATATTCAGAATGAGATAAAATTGAATCATTGCATCCATTGCCAGTCCAAGGGTCCTTTTATTCTAAATACTGAACAGGTGCAAATTTGTTGATTGTTAGCTAAGTTTTGTATTTTCGAATTATATTAATATATATATATTCTCAAATGCCTATTATAGACTGTATACAGTGATTATCAAAAAATAACGCTTCAAGAAAGCCCTGGTACGGTACCAGCAGGACGTCTACCTCGGCACCGTGAGGTCATTTTACTTGGAGAGCTGATCGACTCAGCAAAACCTGGTGAAGAAATTGTAGGTGATATCATAGAGTTATGCATGATAAATTACGAACTCTTTATTTTATTTACATACGTTATATTAATATAACCATAGGAAGTCACTGGTGTTTATAGAAATAATTTTGATGTATCATTAAATATAAAAAACGGATTTCCGGTGTTTGCAACCGTCATAGAGGCAAATTATATTAGTAAGAAGGAAGATTTATTTGCTAGTTATCAATTAACCGAAGACGATAAAAGAATAATCCAAGATTTAGCTGCGGATGACAAAATTAGTCGGAAAGTAAGATAATTTTACAACATAGCTATTAGTTAAATTTTGTATCAGTCCAATTTTGATAATCGTAAACAGATCTTTAGGAGCATCGCGCCATCAATATTTGGACATGATGATATCAAGAGGGCGATAGCTTTGTCACTATTTGGTGGTGTTCCAAAAAATATTCAAGATAAGCATAGGCTGCGTGGAGATATCAATATTCTTATGCTTGGCGATCCCGGGACAGCCAAATCTCAGTTTTTAAAATACGTAGAAAAAACTGCCCATCGAGCTGTTTTTACCACGGGACAAGGAGCGTCTGCAGTTGGTCTCACTGCGTCTGTTAGAAAAGACCCAATCACAAGAGAATGGACCTTAGAAGCAGGTGCCTTGGTTCTTGCTGATAAGGGTGTCTGCTTAATCGACGAGTTTGATAAAATGAATGATGCTGACAGGTTAGAATTTGCAAAAATAGTTTTAAAATTATCTGTATCATAAAATTAACCACTTAAATACCAGAACAAGTATTCATGAAGCTATGGAGCAACAGACTATTTCTATTTCTAAAGCTGGGATAAACGCATCGCTCAACGCGAGATGCGCAGTCATTGCTGCGGCAAATCCTATAAGGGGTCGATACAACACATCTATACCATTTTCACAAAACGTAGATTTAACGGAACCTATTCTGTCCCGTTTCGATGTTCTTTGTGTTGTCAAAGATACCGTCGATCCAATTACGGATGAAACGCTTGCAAATTTTGTGGTCGACAGTCACATCCGTAGTCATCCAAGTGAACAAAACAGTGTAGATAATTTAGCTCCACAAGACCCAAACGTATGCATATTTCCTATCCATTTAATACTAATAGCAGCTATAATAATAGTATATACATCATTGTATAGATTATTTCCCAGGACCTTTTGCGTAAATATATTATATATGCAAAGCAAATAACGCCGCAGCTTACACATCTTGACGAAGCGATGGTTTCAGAGTTATATTCTAATCTAAGGAAAGAGGTCTGTACAATATTGTGGACTGTTTACTCGTATGCGTTTCATTGAATTAATGTATTACATTATTTTGTTGCAGGCCCAGACGGGTGGTATTCCAATAACGGTTCGTTATCTAGAATCAATGTTGCGGTTGGCTGAAGCACATGCTAGGTAATATGACGTTATTTTGTCCCAGACCTCCTTCTGTTTGTTTATCGTACGTACTATTCTATTATAGAATGCACCTTCGGGATCAGACAAATTCAAACGATTTGGATGTGGCAATAGATGTGGTGTTGCAAAGTTTCTTTTCTTCCCAAAAATTCTCAATTGCGAACAAACTTAGAAAGGTAATATTTTATTTAAAGGTTATTTCAGGCTCAGTGCTAATCATATCACTCACTTCTTTTTAGTGTTTTGCGCAGTATATCAATAAAGCGAAAGATCAACAAGAGTTACTTCTACATGTGCTTAACTCATTAGTCAGAGAGAAGATCCGAATCCAAAGAGTTGGTAATGCCAACGCAAGAGATGTTAATATTCGTATAAGTGTGTCTGAATTCCGAACGCAGGTTTGTTTCAATCAATGAGATTGTAGAGTTTATAAACGACTAATTAATTAGTTATTATATTTATTAGGCTAGGAATCATAATATTCATAACATTGAGCAGTTCCTTCAAAGTGATGAGTTCACAAATCATTTCTTACTGGATCAAGAACGAAACGTCATTATCAAACCGATTTAGGTGTTGCATATATACAATTTAACAACTAAAAGATTCAGAACAATAACCTGTATTAGTTTATTTCATATAATAAACTTGTTATATCGTGTTCATGTCAGTTTGTATCATGTGTTGTGTAAAGTTTTTACGAAAGTATTGGGGTGTGTTCTAAAAGTCGTGTACCAATTATCAGTCATGGGATATGTTCATATATTTGCAACCCCTCTAGCTCACCCCCAAAATTTAACTACCCCAAGAACACCTCCAATTTTTCTGCGCAATCACGTGACATTACGTAATATCAGATAAGCGATAATCGATTTTCCCCTTGCATATTACAGTATTATAGTACTGTATTAACGATAAGCTTTTTTCTCAAAATGTAAAGAACATGGACGAAACCAATATAAATGAAAATAATACATTACAAAAATGCACAAATACCGAAAGTT